CTTTCTTATTCATCTAGAGCAGTGGTTCTCAACCTGTGGGTCACGACCCCTTTGGGGGCCGAATGACCCTTCCACAGGGGTCGCCTATGACCATCGGAAAACACATATATAATTACATATTGTTTTTGTGGTTAATCACTATGCTTTAATTATGTTCAATTTGTAACAATGAAAATACATCCTGCATATCAGATATTTACATTATGATTAATAACAGTAGCAAAATTACAGTTATGAAGTAGCAATGAAAATAATTTTATGGTTGGGGGTCACCACAACATGAGGAATTGTATTAAAGGGTCGTGGCATTAGGAAGGTTGAGAACCACTGATCTAGAGCAAGCTCCATTGGGAGTTATTAAGTTAGGACAAAAATTCCCCCAACATTTTATGGTAGGTATTTTAAAATGATTAAAACATTTGAGCAAACTTTTAAAAAATATTATTTTTCAATTACAGTTTACATTCAATATTATTTTGTATTAGTGTCAGGTATACATCATAGGTTAGACAATGATTTGACCATCACATACTAATATTTCAAGTACCTACCTTGACACCATACATAGTTATTACAATATTATTGACTATATTCCTCATGCCATACTTTACAACCCTTTGACTATTCTGTAACTACCAATTGGTACTTCTTAATCCCTTCACATTTTCCACCAAGCCCCAAAGCCCGTCCCCTCTGTCGACCATCAGTCTGTTCTTTGTATATATGAGTCTGTTTCAATTTTATTTGTCTATTTCATTTTTTAGATTCCACATATAAGTGAAAATATATGGTATTTGCCATTTTCTCTCTGACTTATTCCACTTAGCATTATTACCCTTCCTATTTGTGACAGCATACGTTTTTTCTATAAGAAAAGATGCTTTTTAATATGATGTCAGGAAATACTATAGGATTTCATTGGCCTTGGCCAATGAAGTATCTAATGAAGATATTCTGTATTCTGCTGGGAATCATTTTATAGAGAAAGGCAGATGTCAGATTCTTCAGATTTAATTTGCTTCCTTCAGCAATATCAGAAATCTCTTCTTTTAGCCCTTCCTAAATGCACAAAACAGGAGGGCCCAATCATCCTACTTTTCCTGTTGACTCCTACCTGGAATACCTACCTAAAACTAGCCCTTCTTTTGCTTTCTTTCTTAAAGACAAACACAAAATAATATCAAGGTTGCTTCTGAATCCAGTGCTCCCACTGGAGTTGCTCATGTAATTTGCCTCCTGTCACTTGGTCAGATGTCTGCTCCTAATTCTCAAAGATCACATACTTCCAAAGGGCTTGCCTATTTCTTTTCAGAGAAGCAGCACAGAATGGATTCAGCTGCATGGTAATACATCCCATGATGAAACCCCCTGATCGATACTGCTTGCTGAGCAGAGCTCATTTTCTGAAAGTGCACCTAAAGAGTTTTGTGTGGTCTCCTCCCTTCTCCTGTGACCTATTAGTAGCTCCTTGGACTGGGCTCCAGAATTCTGAATTGGTTCAGTGGCGGATTCAGAAAACGTGCTTTTCATCCCACTGCTGTTCTCAGAGCCACCTCCCTCCCACAGAGCGTTCTTTTTTAAGCAGTCTTTTCTAAGGTTTTTACTATAACCCCACAAGGATTCAAGTTTTATCTTCCTTTTTTTTTTTTTTCCTTTCCAACATCAATTAGTTGGAGAGGCAAACTGAGAAAAGGTAAATCTACGGTTTTGAACTAGGAATATAATTCAAAGATGACACTGGCTTACAACCTGCTATCCTTTTCCCTTTAATATTTGATGATAACAAAATACAAATGTTCAATAGATGTTTGCAGAATGGAATTGAATTTTTACTGAAATGTTCAGAACTGGAAAAAACCGGCAAAACTAAAAAAAAAAAAAAAAAAAAAAAAAGCCAAAAAACAAAAATCCAGATAAAAATTAACATCTAGACCAGGGGTGGGCAAACTTTTTGACTCAAGGGCCACAATGGGTTCTTAAACTGGACCGGAGGGCCGGAACAAAAGCATGGATGGAGTGTTTGTGTGAACTAATATAAATTCAAAGTAAACATCATTACATAAAAGGGTACGGTCTTTTTTTTTTTTTTTTTTTAGTTTTATTCATTTCAAACGGGCCGGATCCGGCCCGCGGGCTATAGTTTGCCCACGACTGATCTAGACTCTAACGTGAAACATTTGATTTAACTTCCTTACTATTTTTAAATTGCTCCTACATAGAATATACTGATTTCAAAGGAAAGAAAACTAGCCCTAAGTCAAGTTAATCAACACCTTTCAAAACTATGGATGTCTAACTGAATCACTAAAGTCTTTGTGTTCATCTGTTGTGAGGCTTCTGAGTTTGACAAATTCTAAGAGGAGTAAAAGCAACAATCTCATGAAACAGTCTACTGAGGTATTCCCAACAGTGTAGGATTGAATGGCCACTTTACAAATGAACGAAAGAAATGCTTTACAAACAAAATTATTATCTCCATTCATAGGCTATGGAACTTCCATGAGTAAACAGCCTTGATGTATTTAGTGCGGTGACAACAAGAATTATAGAAGACAAGGACAGAGTTAGGTAATCATTACAATGGCATTTTTTTTTCTTACTAATAATTTCTAGTTTAAGTTTTTTGGTGGGTCAATGGATAATGAAAGGCAAAAATAATCCTATGGCACTAGTATCGCCTTGGGTTTTTTATTGGTTTAAATTAAAGAGCTGAATTGAGCAGGGTATATACATGCTTGGCATGCATTCCTATGGCTTTCAAAAGGAGCACATTGAGTGGTGGTACAGACATGAGCCAGGAGCAAGGGCCCAGAGGAGATCTCCCAGAGGTTGGCTGCTTCTTTGGCTAAGAGCTGTTTTTAGTTGGTAAAATCACACTTTCCCAGAGGAAACACCTTCCAATTCGATATGACTAAAAACTGCAGAGCCAGAAAATCACTGCTTTGTGGCTTTAAATGATTATGTTTGTGTTTTTGTTCTGTTCAGTTTTGTTTCGTTTCCCCTGAAATGCACCATTACCTCCAAATTTCATGGTTGCCTACCATCATTTAAGTTTTGAATATAAAAGCAAATTTTCCTTTCCTAAATCTTCTCTCTCTCTCTTAACATAAATAAATCAGACATCCTAAAGCCATCATTTAAGCAGGGTTCTTATATTCCTGGGAAATAAATAATGCTGGCCTCGTTCTGACAAGTTAGTTTCTTTTTAAAATATAACATGCATTCTTAGTTTTAATGTTCAAAACTTCTGATGTATCCAGTTTTTCAAAATTGCTTCTTTTAGGCATTTTACTTAAACAATAAAAAGGTTTTAATTTTGTTTAGAAAGTATAGAATGATTAATTGATTTTGCAAAATAGTTTAAAATAGAGGAGAAAAATGATCTGGGAAATAATGAGTTGCCCTGCAGTAGACAATCAATTCAAGAAGACATTACACCTCCAATATAGGGAATTGTTAAAATTATTGTGCATTCATTTCAAAAGAGAAAAAACAATTGTCACATTTGGAATACTGCAAGTAATTTACTTAGTGATGTCTGGCCATAGAAGAAAGAGGGCCATCAATTCTGGTTACAGAGATCCTTGTGAGCATATTGCATAATGTAGAAAACCCTAGAGATAGAGGCATTTCCTTAAACAAATACTGTTAATACTACTTTTGTTACACCAACTAATCTCTATATATAAAAGCCTAAGATACCGAAAGACTGAATGACTGAACAACCGAACGTCCGGTCAACCGGTCGCTATGATGCACACTGACCACCAGGGGGCAGATGCTCAATGAAGGAGCTGCCCCCTGGTGGTCAGTGCGCTCCCACAGCAGGAGTGCCACTCAGCTGACCAACGGGCACCAGAAACAAGGCTCACAGCTGGTGACTGACTGGGCACGATCCTTTGTTTAGAAAGTATAGAATGATTAATTGATTTTGCAAAATACTTTAATACGACCATTTCATGGTATGCCATGATCCTGTGGCAGGTGCAGCAGTGCCAGGATGAGCAGGAGCGGCAGGCAGGAGTGGCAGGCAGTCCAACATCCCCTGAGGGGTCCTGGATTGTGCGAGGATATAGGACAGAGGGACCCCATCGGTGCACGAATCTGTGCACCAGGCCTCTAGTTTTAAGATAATGCTAAAAGAGTGATAGGAATTTCCCTAATTGTCAAATGAATCTCAGGTTTGGAATGGCTTTTTCCAAGTTACCAAGTACTAAATGCAATTTATATTTAGTGGTTTATATTATAAAAATATGCTCTGGCCCTGGGCAGTGCGGTTGGGCATCATCCTAAGCACTGAAGGATTGTGGGTTTGATTTCTGGTCAGGACACATGCCCAGGTTGTAGGATCGATCCCCAGTAGGGGGGTGTACAGGAGGCAGCTAGTTGATGTTTCACTTTCACATAGATCTCTCTCTCTCTCTCTCTCTCTCTCTCTCTCTCTCTCTCTCTCTCTCTCTCTCTTTTCCTTCTTCTCATAAAAATATTTAAAATTGCTCTGAAACATTTGTAGCATTTATGTTTTACTGCAATAGCTATGACATATATATGCTTGCTGTATCCTTCCTTCTGGTTCAGAGCCTGTTGGTAAGTCATAAATTAAAGTAATGTCCAAAGAAAACTAGAAAGCACAAAGATTTTTTTTGGGGGGGCGGTAATGCTTTATGCACTAGGCCCGTGGTCGGCAAACTGCGGCTTGCGAGCCACATGCGGCTCTTTGTCCCCTTGAGTGTGGCTCTTCCTAAGCCGTAGGAGTACCCTAATTAAGTTAATAACAATGTACCTACCTATATAGTTTAAGTTTAAAAAATTTGGCTCTGAAAAGAAATTTCAATCGTTGTACTGTTGATATTTGGCTCTGTTGACTAATGAGTTTGCCGACCACTACACTAGGCTAGAAAAGTTTTCCCATAATATTTAAATGAATAGTTCATTGATTCAATAGGTTAATATTTGAGAAAGAAACTGAACACATAGGAGGTCAAACATTTCATACTCACTGTAGAGAATGGTCCCATTCAGCGTGTTTGTTTTTATAGTCAAGTAGATGGTAACAATTCTGTTATGTTCTTTTTCCAGGACAGACTTTCCAGGACTCACTTAGGGTTGCAAAGAAAGGCAGTTCTAAATAGGAATTCCCATTGAAAGATGGGAAAAATAAACCTGTATCTAAAAAAACATACACAGTCATGTTAATGTGTTCTGATATACAGGGTTTCTCCCTCTCCCCCCAAATGTATATATACTTTAACAGCTGACAGCTCAATTTTGAAAATGAAATGTATTTTAATAAACACTGGCTTTATAATTATTCAAAGTGTGTATATATTTTTTGGAACACTCTGCATTATTATATTGCTAATCAAGCAGATGAGAACATAATATTAATAGCATTCATTTAAAAAGATAAAACTGATATTTACAAATATTATTTAGTTCCAACATTAAGCAATTTAGATATATAAGTACAATACATTTGTAAAGTCATTTCTCATATAATCAATTACCAGTTTAGAGGAAAAGACTCAAAACAAGAATATAATTTTTTTTTTTTTTGTTTAAGGGAGAATAAACACCCTGAAATTGTATGAAAAACATCTGTGTTCCTGCATATGTGAAATAATAGTTTTCATTAGATTCTTAAAACATTCTGTGATATAAATGACTAGACATCAAATTAATACACTTAAAATCAATAAAGTTTATTTGATGTAATTACACTTCAATAAAAACAAACACCTGTGACACAAAAATATTAGAAAACTATTACATTCTTTTTATTAATAGTCATTAATATTTAGTACTCTTCACTCATATATATTTTTTAGTATTACTATACTATGCAAGGTTATTAGTAATTAGAATTCTTAATCTTTTAAATGCTTAATCTCATAAAATCCTGAGACATAAGTTTTAAAAAGTATTTATCTTATTGTCATATATATATTTAGATCTATGGACTTGGTGCACTGAGCAAGTATATTACATAAGATTTGGAAATGCAACTTAATTTTTTGTTTCTCTCACAATGGGGAAGTTTTCTTTGCCTCTGGGTGAAAACTTGGCAATCCCTATGCGTCATACCTTCTTTCTAAATTATACAATAATTTAAAAAACTAATATCCAGTCTAAGAAATGTATCAACCCTTTTCATTTTCCTTCATAGATATGACTTCCCTTAGCCCCGTTCGCCTGTCAAAGCTGTGGGGTGCCTGACACCTGCTGTCTGTCTGTCTTGAGGGGTAGGGAGAAGCTGGTTTCTGTTCGTATTTCCTTCTCCTCCCCGTCCCCCCTCACCCCCACTCCCCTTCAGGCTAGCTGCTGCTTTGGACCTTTATAGCTTTAAATGGGAGAAGACAAGGTGAGGTGGAAAGAAGCCACAGTAAGGAGAGCTATTAGAGCTGGTGACTAATGTTGCAAGCAGGCCTCTTGCTCTCTAGGAATAGCGGATGCTTAAAATGTATCCCTCCTGGTCGGAATGCCAGATAAAATATAGGATGCTCAGTTATTCTTCAATTTCAAATAAACAACAAACCATTGTTTTAGTAGATCTCATGCAATGTTTGAAACATAATTATACTAAAACAGTGATTTGTTGTTTATTTGAAATTCAAATTGAACTGAGGGCCCTCTATATTTAGCAGTTAAATTGTCAGCCCTGTGACTCATGAGGATTAGTGCAAGCTTTAGACACCCTTTGTCAACAGCCATTTCTAGGGCTTGTGCAATAGCCTGCCTTTGGCTTGTCACTCTTAACTTGGTCCCACTCTGATTTTTCACATTATATGCCGACTCTTGCTGTTGGACAACCACTTTCCTGTGTCAAAGAAAAAGCTGCATGGGACAAAGTTCAATAGGCAAGAAAGACTTTATTCAAGCCTAATGCAATAGTGGAGAGAGGCTAGAATTCAGTCTTTGCTCTGAATGTGAGAGTTTTTAAGAGCTGAGGTGAAGGGATCATAAGCTACCTGTTTTGCTAGTGGGTCTTACCCCCTCAAAAATAAGCTTCCTCATATTGTCATTACTGGAGGCAATTTACAACGTGGAGCAAGGCGCCCATTGGAGCTAGGCTCCCACGCTCCCGGAGACTGGCTGATAGGGCCACTATTTCCTTGATTATTTTAGAAAGCCGTGGCTCCAGGTCCTGCAGAAAGACACTCCTGGGTTGTGAAACTGGCAAAAAGCTTTCAAAGAAGATTTACAACCCAAAGGAGCCAAGGAAAGAATTTATAATTGAAAGTTTTCTAAAGTAAATTCTCTAAGACAAATGAGGTCAGAGTCCTAGAGCCAGGATGAAGCCCGTCTCTCTAAAATTCAGTCCAGCGGAGGGGAACGTTAACGTGGTCTTGTTCACCTGACTAGAAACACCACTTGGACAGAACGCAAGATGGCTCTGGGCCAAATCTCTTTTCTAAGGGGTCCATACCTAATTCATGGTAAACACTCCTCCATGCCCTGTCTTATTGTCTGTGGGGGTATAAGTTAATTTTCCAACAGTCTTCTCTTTCGGTTTCTGTTCCTTTATCTCCACAACACACACACACACACACACAAACACACGCTGCTTTGGCTTTCTCAGGTTTGAATGTATGACTGTTGGTCCACAGTCCGTAGTGTTCCTCACCAAGTGACCTAGTTTTAGCTTCTTTCTAACTGGGCTCCCTTCCTACAGTGTCTGCTGGCTGTCATTGCTATCATGTCAACTTTACTTATTTGTAATCATCTAAGGTCTTCAGTACTACAGAATAATTCAGCTGCTTTTAGAATAAAACTAGACCCTCCATGGTCATATTTTTCATGTTTACACACACACACACACACACACACACACACACTAGTAAGGCAGAACGACATTTTCTTCTATGGCTCTACTTGTGTTTATGCTGTTCTATTTGTCTGGAATGCCCTGCCCCATATCCTAGGTATACAGGGCTTCGTTTAATTCAATGCTCACCTTGACTATTCTTCCAAATTTGAACTCCCTATCATATTGAGCTACAACTCTTTTAGTGCATGCATGTTTTCTTCCTTATGTTGCAATTGTTAAGCAATTTGGGGCAGAATTGATGAAATAGTAAATCTGAACTTGTTACGTTAGATAAGGGAGCTAAATTCACTTCAATTAGTAAAAATAGAATATTCTAAATAAATGAATTCTGATAAAACTTGGAAAAATATGCATTAAAGAAATGAATTTTCTCTCTTGTGACCAGAAAAGCCCATAACATTGTTAGAGTTGTACCAAATGGAGCAGAATGTTTAGTAGATACAGAACTGAACATGCATCATTTATGCTATATAATAAAAGGGTAATATGCAAATTAACCTTTAAGGCAGAACGACCAGAACGACCACTCGACCAGTCACTATGAGGCGCACTGACCACCTCTTAGTCCCTTTCCCTGGCCGGCAGGCTCCCATTGCCTGGGGGCAAACGGGGAACCCAGGGTGGGTGGCGGGGGATGTGGGCAGTGCCAGGCTAAGGCCCCCACCCCAGTGGTCATCCTACACACAGAGGGTGAACCGCAGCAGGGGTGGGGCGGCGAGCAGGCGGGAATGTCTAACCTCTCGGTCCCTCCCCTGAACTGGCAGGCTCCGATAGCCTAATGGTGAACAGGGAACCAGGGGTGGGTGGCGGCGGGGGCGTGGCTGGCAGCCGGCAGCCAGGGAAGATGGCCCGGATTGCAGGCCAAGTCTGGGAACTGTGCCATGCATGAATTTCATGCGCTGGGCCTCTAGTTAATATAAGGAGAAAAAACATGCAAATCAAGTTAAAATGCAATGTAGCTCTATAGTGGAGGATGTTTAGATGACAAATTTGGATATGGCTGTGACAGAAAAGTGATTAATATTATAAAGAGACTGGATTTGGGTTTTAAATTAATAGAATATCATATAACTTTAAAAGTTGCATATCTGTTGATTCTACCATAATATGGTTTTAGACACTGTTTCTTCCTATTGCTTTTACCTGTATTATTTGAAGTTACTGATGTTTTCATTCACTGAACCAATATATATATTTTAAATTAATTAATTAATTAATTTTTATTTCAGAGATAAAGAAACTCAATGATGCGAGAGAGCCATTGATTGGCTGCCTCCTGAATGCCCCCCACTGGGGATTGAGCCAGCAACCCAGGCATATGCCCTTGACTGGAATCGAACCAGGGACCTCTCAGTCCACAGGCTGATGCTCTATCCACTGAGCCAACCAGCTAGGGCCACTGAACTGATATTTATTGAGTGGCTACTATATGCTAGAACTGGTCAAGGAATATAGTGGTGAGCAAAATAGATAAAGACCTCACCCTCATGAAGCTTAAATTTTAGCTTCATGGAAGAAAACCCCAAGCTAGAAGTTGGTAGAATTTATTCTACTAACGTGGTTGAATTTTCCTTGGCCCCTGGGAAGACATACTATCCTATTTGCTTAACTATTTTTCTGACATTTGCTCTCATCCAGGAGCATTAAGCCTAATGTGAGCTGTAAGATTAGATAAGAAGGAGAGTCTAACAAAACCTATTTCATGTACCTTTTCATACTATTCATTCTCTGGTGGCAAGATCTGAGTCTGATTTAGCTTTGCATTCTCCCATGGCATGAGCAGTTTTGTGCATTGTAGGAAGATATATTCTTGGATAAATATAATGATATAAAAACGATCATTTTGGGTAGTTTTTTTTAAAGGATAGAAAAACTATTCTTATAATTAAAATGAGATGAATCAAGACTATAGGGATTGGGTTCTTGCATTTTTCTCGTGGCTAAGCTTTTCACATTATTGATAAGTCCACAGGAAAATTTCTGTAAGAAGACACTCTTTACATAAGGGTCCATATATGAATCAAATTTGAATCCATAATCAGGCTTTACTTATTCTGAGATGTAGTGAACTCACCAAGAGCAGTAAAAATTCAATTTGCTTAAAAAAATGACTTCCACGTTACTTTGCAGGAGCATACCTATTGTATAATTCAGGCACACCTGCCTACTTCTTAGCTCGCACACTCCTTAAACCTTTTTTTCAGAGCTGACAGGTTTTATGAAAATTATGACGGGGAACAACAATTATGAACAATAAACATTTGCTATTGAATTGCTTTTCTAACCATATTAATTTTCATTATCATCATGTTTAGTGAAATATGTTGAAAAACAGAACTGC